TGGGCCACCCGCCCCAGCCCGGGGAACCGTCTGCTGGCTCGCCAAGCCCCAGCCCTCCCATTAATAACTGGCTTCGTCATTAAGCGTCAGCAAATCCACCCCCGCGCCTGCCCGAGCCGGGGATACGGCACTAATCACGTTTACTGCAGAGCCGTATTGTTGGGCTCGCAGCCGCTGCGCCCGTCACGGCCCGCCGGGGACTTTCCCCCGCACGCAAAAGCAGCGGGAGCTCAATAATTGAGGCTTATTTATGGAAGGGAAGCTGTTAGCAGCGGGAGCGTATGGCTGTCGCTGCTAAAATAGGCCGCGGAAAAGAAAAAGCTGGGCTTCCATCCCTCGTCGCCCTGCGCTCGGGATGCTGCCGCTCCCTGGCCCACGCCGGGGTGTTACTAGCCACCGGCCGCAGGCCGTTGCCCTGGGCGGCTTTGGTGGCCGGAGAGAAGCGATGGGTTGGGGGCCCCCGCGGGGCCAAGCTGCTGCTGGGGGGGGGACCTGGCCCTGAGCTTGCTCGCGGCGTCCCCGCGTCCCCCCCGGTGGGGACCAGCGGCCGGGAGCGGGGCACGGCCCCGCCACAGAGACCTGCTCTATAAGGTATGTAGATAGCTATAAGGTGTCTAGAAATCTTAGCTAGAATGTATACGCATTCGCTAGAATATATACATCTTAGCTAGAATATATAGAAATCATCTAGAATATATACATATTAGCTCGAATATATAGAAATCTTAGCTGGAATATATACACATTAGCTAGAATATATACATCTTAGCTAGAATATATGGAAATCTTAGCTAGAATATATACATCTTAGCTAGAATATATGGCAATCTTATCTGTAACATATACACATTAGCTAGAATATAGCCATATTAGCTAGACTATATAGAAATCTTAGCTATGATATATACATATTAGCTATATTATATGGAAATCAGCTATAATATATACATCAGCTAGAACATATGGAAATCTTAGCTAGAATATATACATCTTAGCTAGAATATATGGAAATCAGCTAGAATATATACACATTAGCTAGAATATATGGAAAGCTTAGCTAGAATATATACATCTTAGCTAGAATATATGGAAAGCTTAGCTATAATATATATTTTAGCTAGAATATATGGAAATCAGCTAGAATATATACATCGTAGCTAGAATATATGGAAATCTCAGCTAGAATATATACATCTTAGCTAGAATATAT